AAATGAAACCAGAGACAACAGAGCTGCTTCCTGGAAGAAGAACCTCAGCTTAGCCTGTTAGCTTTTACGCTACCGCCGACGCTATATTGCCTCATATATATTAGCTCAGTGCTAGCGCGACAAGCTAAACTGAGGTCCTTCATCCATATTTTCAGTTGCAGGCTGAGTCATTTTTGCGTTCTTCTCTATGTTATGTGGATGGAGGACCTCAGTGACGAGAGGAGAATGTGTAGCGCTGAGCTAATACATATACATGGTGATAGGATCGGGGCTAATGCTAAAGCTAACAGGCTAAGCAGAGGTTCTTCCATGAAGCAGCTCTGTTGTCCTCCATCCATATTGACATGATCRAGAAAATGGTGTTAAAATGTAAAAAAAGTTCTGACAACTTGGAAACCTCTAAAGGCAACCGAGATTCCCTTGTGCTTCATTTGGACATTGTAAAGGGACTTCTCTGGAAAGGAAAAAAAAACATGTTTTGTGTGTGTGTGTGTGTGTGTGTGTGTGTGTGTGTGTGTGTGTGTGTGTGTGTGTGTGTGAGTGTGTGTGTGTGTGTGTTCTGAAGTATTTTCTTCTGTCTTGTGTTTGTAAGATAACCAAGTTTGTTTACGTACGCTGTACCAAACGATTATTTTCTAATCAATTAATCTAACGATTATTTTTTCGATTAATCGATTATTCTAACAACTAATCTATAAGTTATTCTGACATGAGTGCACTGGAAATTTAAAATGTTTTCATCAAATTAACAAGAACAGTTCTTTAAATTGTAATATTTTCTTTAATGGTTTTTTCATGAACACAAACTATGCACTCTAGAGTCAATTATTTAACAAAAAAAAAAAGCTTAAAAGATTTAACATCAATATAAAATCTCAACCAAAGCATATAAAATTCAAGTAAAAGAAATATAGTGCAAGATGTTAACAATCTAACAAATGAACTAAATCATGCAAAATTCAAGTCACTCTCTGGAAAAACTATAATAAGCATTTATTTATTATTATTTTATTTAATATACAGTATTTCTCAATATATAAAATTAACAAATATCAAGACAACATCCAACTCTTTGTATTGTAACATCAGTTGTGTAACTAATTTCTTTATGGTGAAAACTGTTGAAAACAACAAGAAATTTTGTCTTATTGCACAAATTAAAATCCAGCTCCACGTGTTTCTATTGATGTCATTTCCCCGCTAGAAAAATTGTGTGATGGAGGTCCATGGAAGGCAAATATGTTTAAATCAAATAAACACAAGAGGATGCAGTTAAAATAAATAAAAGGTATTTAAGCTACGTTTTGAACATCCAAAACACATCCAACACTTGTTGGCTGCTTGTGCTCTTTAGGTCAGACGTGTGTCGGGAAGCTCCTCTGTTGTTTGAGACGCTGGGGGAACCGTCTGATGGGGGAACGTGGCTCGACCTAACACCGGTCTCTGTTTAATGGTGGATGAAATAAAGAAAGTGGTGGTACTTTATTTACTTTGAGCAAGCGAACGTCGTGCTCACAAGATAATTAATCCACCAGATAATTCAGAGGCAGTCTGTTCGGTAAATTTTACTCCAGGAGCTGCGAGGCTTGTTTTCAAGCTTCAGACTGAACTGAAGCAGCGGCTGCTGACGTCATTACGCTCTTGCGCGATGCTGCGTTCAGGACGAGCATGGAAAACTCCACTCTTATGCCAATACAGTCGTAATGATGCATTTATGTACCGAAATGGAATTGCATGAACATTCACGTAGTGGTTATGTAATACAGCGAATCGATAACAAAAAATTTGCGTCGACAAATTTACATAATCGACGTCATCGATTATTTCAACTAATCGGTACAGCCCTAACGTACTATAAATGCCAGACCTGTTGACCATTTCTTACTGTTGCCTCTTGGCTGTATTTCACCAGAACGTCAGTTTTTATTGCAAAGAAATAATACAGTGGCATGCGTTTACTTTGAAACAACGAATTATCTTCTGAGCCAGTTTTCTGGGAAGAAAACAAAAAGTCTTTGTCCGGTCTTTTTTTTTTTCTTTGTCCGGTCTTAATGTGGGTTTTTCTGCATTTACGTCCCCAGGGCAATTACCTTAGCTGGCAAACACTATCCAGTCATAATAACATACAAGACAGCTATACTTCTGAAGCAACAGCATCAAACTGACCATAATGAGACAGCAATGCTATAATTAGGAATGTTTGGCATGACCTTTGGTTGCTTGTCATAAGTATGAAAACCAGTGTCAACAAGTTTAGAGTTTTTAAATGTTTAGGTTTTCTTCAGTTGTCTCCTCTTATTCTGTTTGCCTTCCATATTTTAGACTTTACGAACCTGTTGTCCACCTGTTGAATTCTATTTTTTGTGAAAAGCTGGATAAATAAATAGAATGACAAATGGAAAAGTTCAGCAAATCAATTGGAGGGGGTCATCCAAAACACAAACTTAATGCTGTTTATTCTTGGTAAATAGTAGGCAGCAAAGGCACTATCATACCTTTGTTTCACTCACTTTTATGAGATTAAACAAGTCTATTTCTTCATCTCAAAACAATTTTTGCCTCATCTGAGAGGAGATACAATTGACCAACTAGTTTTGACAGGTTATTTCCATTTATTTGATAAGCTATAAACTTAAAAGAGTGGTTTTAAAATGAGTAAATCGTTGAAAAATACAAAACTGAGCAGTTTTTTTCTGACAGAACAGGTTTTTAAGGTATTTAGGCCTCTTCTTTGTTTTCTTTGGTTTCTCTGCCGAAAGCATAGAGAGGTTTGGAGGAGGGGAAGAGAGGGGAGTTGTAAGAGGGAATCACACACAGAAAGGAGCGATGATATGTAGAGTTTGACAGGGGAGGGTTAGATTTTGTGGGGGGCAAAGCATTGGGAGGTGCCCTAAGGAATGCTTGGAAGGTGTCAGCAGAGTTAATGAGACTTTAGGCTGATAATCTTCCAGCTAACCCTTAAACGAACTGGATATGGGCGTGACGTTGGACAAGCATATCAAACTATCTGGGCCCATGAAGCATAGTTCTTCCCCACTACCCAGTTTTTAAAATATCACTTTTCCTTGGCACCTCAGACTTTTCTCACAATTGCCTTTGGTACTTGAGCAATGCCTCAGGAGGTTCATCCTTTATTTTGATTCAAGAGTGTTGTTTAAGTGATTTGTCCGACAACATAGCTCTTAGATGTGCCAAAAGCTTTGCTTTCTGGACGGAACAGCGAACCAATTCACATACAGTAACCGTGAACTGAGTCTTGATAGGCTTTTGCGACTCTGCCTAGCTAAGCATACATTGCAGTGGTCTGTTGTTTGCATGGTTACACTCATCTAAATTATTGTAATTAATGCCAGACATCTATTTTTGGAACATCTTTAATGTTCACATTAGTTATGTTGTGGGTAYGGACTCATTAATTTGTTAAAAATGAAAACTGATGTCAAATAAAAAKACAAATTATTTCTTATGGCCTTCTACTGCTGAGTCAATGCATTGTAGATCCATTAATAAAAAGTTTTAAAGTATATATTCAAACGAATATATATATTTTTTTACTTATATGCTATTACTGAGATGCATCAGGACATATTTGCTACTTGTTTAATTTCAGTTTCCTAATTCAAGCCCCAAATGAAGACAGAATTTATTTTTTCATAATGTGATCTCATTAGTTTGGATTCCACATTCCACATCAAGTAAATAAATTAAAGGAACTGTTAGATGTTAAACTCAAAGAAAACTGTAAGCTACCAAGATGCGAGAGGTCATACATATTTAAGGGATAAAAACTTGATTCTTCTTTTAGCCACGATTCAGTTCCTCGTCAAGTGTAATGTTATTAAGTCTTGTAGTTTTTGTGCCGTCCTTCTAATAGGGAAGTCCATACTGTACTTTACCAGAGGCTGTAACAGCTTTARCAGAAGAGAAATAAAAATCTAATTAAGGAACTAATCACAAAAGAACCAGACAGCTCAAATGAATGTACAACAAGCACGTAAAAAAAGTCCATCAAGTTAAATTTTCATTATGTTAGAATGACATAAGAATCAATATTTTCATTATGTATTTTTATTATTAGTTGAAGTAATCTTCATGGCGTTCTTCTATTGGGTAGCTAGTTTGCAGCCAGACTTCTGTTTTARCAGGTTTTCACTTTCTTACTGATTCCCTATTCTAGTTTCAGGCTTTGGCRTTAATCAGTAACCAAACAAGAAAATTTTTGTAATTATTCAAATTTAAGATGGTGATAGAAAAAGGAGAGATTTTCATAGAGAGCAGGGTYTGTGTCATGAAGAGGGACTCCCACACGATCTGCCTGGCTCATTGGTCACGCATTACTCAGCGTTGCATGTGTTTTTGTGTGTGGGAGAGGGGCAGTGGGTACAACCACAAGAGCATTCAAGAAGGTATTGTGTAACACGGCCTGCCCTTATTTTGTTATTTGGTTTTTGTTTTAAAAGTGTTGCTCTTTGGACTTTAGTGGTCAGGTTTAAGTGCAGAGGCTTAAGTGTCCCTGTTGGTCTCAGGGTGTTGTCTGACTCAAACACAAATACTCGCGCACACTCTCTCCTGTTGCACCTAGTCAGCTGGACGATTACCTCATTCCAGGAAAAGGAAGCAAAAATCACCTGACTGGCTAATTTGTTTAATCAGCTGATTGTGTAACCGGAGAGCAGAACTTGGACGTCGATGCCTCCGGTTATTGACCGTGCAAACAGTACAGGCAGATATGTAAATAGACGCAAGAAGGTTTGAGTTTATACTGCTTTTGTATTCTTGAATTTTCCTACGACCCATCTTCTCTCTCATTTCAAAATATTGAATACGAATGGGAAAAACTCGGGAAACTGATACCGAGAAAGAGGAGCAGAAAACCTGCTTTCAGCTACCTGAAAAGGGGCAAGGTATTTGATCTGTCAGCACATACAAAAAAGGGCGGGGAGAAAGAGCAGGAGAGAAAGGGAAGACTGGCTGAGAGGGTGTGTTTCTGTGTGGGTGAGAGACAGAGAGGCGGAGGAGGAGCAGCGTAGAGAGAACTCGAGCAGTCCCTCAGATCTCGCCTGTGGTGAGGACACCCATTAGATGTGCATTCCTGAGGCAGCCAGCAACAAAAAGAGCAGGATTGAGTGAAGGAGAAGTTGTGACACCGTTTCAGTTTCTTTGTGACCACGTCTGACTGCCTTCTGAACTGTGCTGGATTCACATRTTCCTCACATTCACACGCCCGCAGGCTTCCGTGCACACAAGCCGAACAGCCGGCTCCTCTGCCCTGTGAGGACTGAAGGATTTCCCTGACGGAGCAAGAAGGAAGGAGAGAATATAAACAGAGAGGAAGTTTGACATTTTAAAGAGCATTAAAGGATCCATCCTTTTTCTAGGTGAGTGTAAGAGCATCTTGGTGAATCGTTTGAATATTTGGCTTGAATTTCAGKGTCAAGAAATTTCCCTGGATTCAGCTGATTTAGTTGTGGCAGCACTACATACTGTATTAAGAGAAGCGTTAAAGTAAATATGTCTGATTTGCTTTGCTTTTTATTTTTTAGATGCCAAGATTTTTTTTTATGAACAGACAAAGAGGAGTGTGTGCTGTGACTTTGCAGAGCTGAACCGTGTCTTTACATGTAGGCACCTGTTGAAGCTAGACCCGCCACCCAAGTACTCGTGTGGAACAAAAGAAATCAAACGTTTTTGGGTTGAAACTTCACTTATTGTTTACTTATGCAAAGACTCTTTCACCTGTTTTGGGTTGTGTGACTACAGAATCAGCATCCTAATGTGTGGTTTTAAACTATGAAGTAAGCATACTGATCTCCTGTCACACAGATTAAAAAGGATTTCCCACAAAACTTTGGAACAGTTTAGGTAACTTGTTAAAAAGGTGCACACTTTAAATGCTAACAAGATGCTAATTCAATGCTCCAAATAGCTCTAACCTATCTTATTTGAACACTGGTTAGTCTTTATGCATGGCTAACTTTGTGTTTAAAAATTCTTAGCATGGCTTGTGTCTGACATTGCAACTCATTAGCAGGCAGTACTTGTCACCTAATCAAGGCAATCGATTGAAAACTCGCTAACACCACAGTAGGAGGTTTCTAAAGAGATAATGCCAGGAATTTAATAACAGGTTATTAGAAGAGGAACAATTTAAGTATAATGATAGCTAAATGAAACATTAAGTTAGTTAGAGTAATTGCTTTTTTTAAATTTCAGTTACTTGTAATCCTTGTTCAGATTTATCAGGCTCAACTGACCTTTGGTCTCTGAACATAAGTCTATGCTCATTCCGCTTATTTAATTCAACGCATTTTACGCTTTTTGTAAGAATATCTGCATCATGTTTCTTGACCATTTGTTGGACAGCAGAYACATGATGAAAAAATGTTTCCAAATATCTGTTTAGTTTATCATCATCACGAATGCTACATGGAAAGTGGGAAACCAGCAGTGTAAGAATAGCCCTGATGTTAGAATACATTTTTTTTAAATTTTCTACCTCTTGCTGTCCTTGTTTAGTTACTTTTCTTACAGTTTTCCTTCATGTCTCATGTTCCTCTTGGAAATTTGTTATTTTGTATTACTCGAATGAGGCTGTTTAGCATGGAGATAGCAGCGTGCCCTCTGAGAGTACTTGTACCTTGTTCGTTGCCATGTTTTTACTGTTCCTTCTATGCTTGAATACACAAACGACATTTTCTGCTCATCTAAAATAGCCTGTATTTCTGTCAGTGTGTCTGTCTGTTTCTCAACTTGCATGGTAAGGAAGGCAGGTTTGAGCAAGATGTCTCTTGGGATTCTTGATGGAGACTTTTTACATAACTCTTCATGCTGCTAAGTGACTTAATTTCTTGTCATTTTTTTATCAGTTTCRTAACATCTGCAGATCCTCTAAGGACCAATATAATGTCCTTTGACAAGTTGTTGATAAATAATGTGTTTGCACATTTGAGGGTTGTAATAATTCTTTTGACAGGTGGTTGGCACCACTTTTCTTTGTAAGCGACTTTTCYTTCTCTGTGTCTATCTGTCTTTACTTCCCTTGGTCTCTCTTTTTTTTTTCTGTGTCCTTCCCCTGCCTGTGCAATGTGATGGAAGGCAGTGCTCTGCTYTGCTCATGCTGGATCCATTAGGGATGAAAGCTCACTGCAGTGATAAAAGATTGATCCAGTCCTCCTTGCATCACATTCTCATCCCTCACACCCCTGCTCCTTCAGCCTCCCTCACACCCTGTTTTTCTGTCTAAAGTCAACCCCATTTTCAATTCATCAAATCGTCAGCTCGCCTGTAAATAAATCATTCTGACCAAGTTTACAAAAGCGTACTTTATCTCACCTGATTTCAGAAAAGAGAACATTCTCTTGTTCCTGCGCAGTATGTGTTCTCTCAGACAAGGTTACAAATGATTAGGGGTACAAAGAATTTATGGTTAAGCATTACATTTCTTAAGAATGGTTCCTTCAGTGTTCTTGTACCGTGAAGAGTATTATGTTCTTAGGTAGCAGAACCAGTAAGACCCTGGCGTTCAGCCCAGCATAAACATGACTTTTTTTTCCACCTGTTTAATTTGAGGAGGCAAAGACAAACACATCAGACCTGTAGTTTGTCACCTGGGAGTCTGTAATTACTGGGAGGAAGGAGGGGATTAAGAGAAGGAATTTCACTGCGGTTCTGTTTTCAGATCTTTAAAGACATACACCTAAAAGCATCTCTTGCGTGTGTTGAAAAATTGGACAGAAATTTGTAGATCAACCAAAAAAAAAAAAAAAAAGTCTAAATCTTTTGATCCCAACTGGAAGTTTTTCTCCCTATAGGGGGATGTTTCTGTCAGTTGCTCAGTACCTATTTGCTTATTGTCCTCAGTCTTCCTTTTTGAAAAAAACAAAAAACAAAAAAACGACGTTGAACTATTTTAAACTCATTGAGCATCTTTTAGAACCATTGCCTGAATCTCTTCTCGTTCATTCAACATGTGCAGGTCAGAGGTTCTATCAAAAAAAATCTACTTTCAGAGTTTTTATGCAGCGTTTTTGTCCTCCTGAGGACATGTTCCCAACTGAACCCACCAAACCATAAAGTTCTCCTGAGTGAATGCTGTCAATTTGTGTCAAGTTGAACTTCCCATGGCCTTCAGTTGTACTTGCTGTGACATCATCAAACCCCATCACCTCATATTTACTGTCATGTTGTAACTTTTCTTGACTAGTGCCGGGTTCCTGTTGCTGGGGTTTCTGAACATTTATGTTTGTTCTTCTCTTTGTAGCTCTTAAATTGACCACGTATAGTGACTGTAGCGAAGGTAAACATCCCTGCCCTTAGGGATGCTCATGTGACTGCGAGTAGGTATCCTTGGATATGTGTATATTAGTGAAGAGCAGGTTGTTCCCTTGCTTAACCAGGCATGCTGTGTATATACTCTCAGTACACACAGCTCTTCGGGCAGTAAATTCTACGCCAAGGGACGTGGAATAGAGAGGGGGTGGTCAAAATGCTAGAAAAAAAAGAGAAAATGTCTGATTCAGGGTGCCAAGACACTCAATCAGCTGGCAGTAGTTTAGACAGGCAGGTGGTTCTGACAGACCCATCTCTCATGCTGAAAAGCTTGATAGCCAACCTGCCATTGAAAGTAGATGTGTTTGATTGAGTAGATTACAAGCAACACAAGCATATGCTAAACTTAACACAGTAATTAAAAACCGATACCTAAATGTTGCACGCATTAGTTTCTGAAACACACAACACCATAGCATGATTATTAGACAACATTTATTAACCTAAATGCTTAAATAGGTACCTTATATTTTTAAAGAATTAGCCTCTTGAATTATTTTTATTATGGATTTATAGGTAGGCTGATAATAGAAGCAATAGTAAATATGTTTTACAAATTTAGTGAAAGCACAAACAATGAATGCTACAGGTTTTCATAGCTTCTAAAAATTCCTGATGAAATTCCATTCGCACAAGACACATACTCATTTTTTTACTAAATGAATCTTTCTTTGTGTACAGTTTAGACCACCATGCTCCTGGAGACAAGGCAACCAAAGCGAACTCTGTTAGTCATCCATAAAGATCAACAGATAAGCCATATTTTCAGTATCAGGTTACTCTTGTCTATGCGGTTTTAAATAAAAAGGAACACAGACCTGGGATCTGTTCTAAGACGCGGGTTTACTAAGCACCTATTAGGGAAAACCTGAAAAAAATGTGGTCAGTTTAATTTTCATGTGTCAGTTTGTGTCTGCCTGTCTGCTTTAGAATAGTCCTTCAACAAACACTTGTCTTTGTGCTGTCTTGTCCAGCCTCCCCCTCCGCTCTCATTGTTATTCCCAGAGGCCAGCCAACAAATCTCAGATGTAAGCTCAGCATCCTCATCAGTGTGTACACTTTTCATATCTCTGCCAAAGCTGCCCTGGTGATCATGTGTGAGRGTTGTAAAAGACAGCTGCCTAGAAGTAAAGATGCACACAGATAGACTATTTTTGTCCTCAAGATGCACTGGGGGGAGTATAAATCTGTAAATGCCCTCCGACCTTCTTCTCACTTATACTGACTCTGCTGGAACCCCGCTGTTTTGATAGCTGAGATCGTTATCCCTGTAATGACAGGGAGAGAGAAACGTGCATGACACCCACCCATCAAACTATATATCATGTCTATTGAGAGGCCCACCCAAGCCTTGTGAATCACAAGCAACTCAAACATTTCACCCATATTTTTGTGTGCTTGAATACAATTAAGGCCACCTTTCAGAAAACGGCACTGTCAAGTTCTCAAAACTTTTCTAAAACGTTTGGACAAGTTTGAACCTTGGTTAATAATATATAGAAAATTTGAATCATMATCAGAATTTGTATTTAGTTTTACAAAAATGTCAAGTCGGTAGTTAMATTTTAACTTGTATGCATTAGGAAGGTTTCTAACTCTACAGTTGCCGTTATTACAACAACCATGATAGGGACTAATTGTTTTTCAGAAACACAGCCCTGCTCTCACAAAACATTGGAATTCTTGGTTGGGTGGTATTTTACTTGGGTATTCTGTTAACTTTTACAAATATTAAAAGTAAAAAACACAAACCATCTTTGTGATCACAGTAAGCAAAGTTCGTTAGCTCTGGACTGGTCTCTAATATAATCAACTTGCACAATGTCTATTTAGAATTAGGGTTGGGCAATATTGGCAAAAAATTTATCGTGATTAATTGTGGTATTTAGCTGATAACAATTAATTTGACAATTAATCCCCTGGAGTCCCTGGACACCCTTATGTCCTGGTCACATGACCAATTTAGTGGGAAAGATTTGCTCTTMGTAAAAAATCTGTTCCTAATTGTGTCAAGATTACAGACTTCAGGCTATACGTCAAATTTTAAATT